CGAATTTAAGATAAGTTAGATATAAGATAGTGTTAAGAAAAAAATAACGGGAGGCTTCACCTCATGGAAAGGGAACATTAAATCCACCTTGGAAAATACCATGCGTTTCAATGCAGCATTAGAACGAGAGCTAACCCTATCGCGCATTCCTCCCTTTACGGACTGAGCAGGCAGAGCAACGCTGGGTGGCCGTCACTAGGCAATCAGGTGAGTCGGGGCAGCCACACGATGGGTGTAGATACAATACAATCCTTAGTAACTTTGAAATTCCCTGAACTGACGAATTTGCAGTTCTCTCTGAACCGTGCACGGTCTTTACCAGATGCTAGGCGAGAACACGTTTGTGAATTATTGAGTGAAATTTCCTTTACTCTCCTTTCTTTAAACAACATAATTTTAATTCAACTTACTTCTGAAAATTTGCAATGAATTTTACCACACTTAGCATGATATTCAACAATTCCATAAAATTGCTAAATTTGGCATTTGTCAATCAATTTCTTTCAGCGATTCATACAAGAATGCAGTATAATATACAATCTACAAGGCATTTACTGTTCTTCTTTGCACATTCCGACCTCTATAGCTTTTGATTTAGTATTGAGCCTTTCCCTCAAACTTTGTCTATTAATCACTGCAATCGCGCGCTCGCTGCGTCGCCTGCCCCTCAAGTCCCGTTGCAATGATTCTCTTTTACCTTGTCCTGCACTCCCGCGACGGTTTCACCAACCTCCGATCGGAACGTCTGGGCTGCGGGCTCACGACATAACGACTTGCGCCAGGGCGCCAAACAGAGTTGTTTCAAACCAGTACTCGTCAGTCCTGACCCGCAGAGCTCCTTGTGTTTGGTGTGCTGGGCGAGATGTTACGGTGCTTTGTCGATTGCATATTCGATCAGATAATATTTGCGTTTCGGGAAAGTATTTGCGTTTCCGTAAAACAAATTAAAAAAATAATCTGCAGTTATATTTCGCAACTTCCTAAAGAAATAAATAGGCCTTTGTTCTAAAATCCGAGATTTAGTGATCAGGTAGGCCTACACTGTTGGTATAAGAGACTGGACGCAATCTGACTTGTATAGAGTAATCGCCAAATCAGAGGCCTGCCAAAGACTGCGCCCCTTAGCGAGGCGCCGGCAAAGCACACGGCAAATCTGTTCCCGCTGGTCCCTCGACGTGTGGTAGTGTACATAGTGCATCTTAGTATTAGTGTGCGTAGAGGGAAGAGAAGCCAATACTATAATGTGCGATTTCCTAGCAATGTCCCAGTATATGTTGCAGTGTGACGATGAGAAAATTCACTTCTCAGGTTGTGAAGACCGGAATTCGGCGTGGGGATATCTACGTGCTAACCACACGTAGCCTTTTAACGTACTTCACAGGATCATTTCTGTAGTATGCATTCTCGCTTCTGGGCCGTGTATACTGTAGACCATGCATAGATTTTTTTTCAAATTGAAAAACCCCTGTCCGTCTGACTCGAGTCGAAGCTTGAGATTTCGAAAAACATTCTTCAAAATTTCGGAGTACTACATGAAGCTCCCCGGACATTATCAAAATTTCTCAACGGCTCAAACGGCTCCAAACTTGTTTGTAAAAAAATAGAGTAAAATATATTTATTAAGGTAGCATAGGTCTGAATTTTCAAAACTTTTTAAATTTTTCAGGTGTCTTCCTAAAACTGTAAAATTGCAAAAACAAATAAATGCAATTTTCAAAAATTAGAAAAACAAGATTTTCTCAAAACGGCTTCAAATTTTTCTTCAAACTTTGCGAACGGATAGTGCTAATTGTACTCTTTCATATGACATAAAGTTCATTTTCGGGTATTTTTTGTTTTCAAAAATTGCACAGATGTAATTTTTTAAAGATCTCTTACGCCGTTAATATGCACATTTCCAGACATTTTAAATACTGCTGTATTTGTGAGTTATAGTTCTTCAAATGACTTCTAATGAAATTTATTGAAAACTCAAAAAATGTTCTGAGAAAAAGATCTTCAAATTTCGAATTTACTATAGAGCTTAAGCGCTATTTTCTTAAAAACGGCTCCAAATTATTTAAAGAAAATTGTCATTTTGGATGAAGTTTTACTGTTCTTTAATACTCTTAAAATAGTATTTTCATTCTACTATTACGAACCCAAAAAAATAAGAAAATTTTTTAAAAAATCTTTGGGCGGCGATAGATGGCAGCTGGCAAGAGTATGTTGCAAGTTCGTATAGCTAGTTGAGACTAAAGAAAATAGAAAACTAATACGAGAATGTCTGTGTCATTCTGTAGCACCATTAGTTTTTAGAGTATCGCTCCGACATTCATTTGAAATGTGAGACCACGGAAAACAAGTGCCTGAGTAGAATTCTCCCAACAGTCTGAATAAGAACCAGCTGTCTGGCTAGTTCGAAAAGAGCCACCCTGGGGCCCCCTGCCGACGATGATGCAGAGGTTACGATGTGGCCGCTGATCTGTCGCAGTCGGCCCTAAGGCCCTGGTAGCTAATAAAAGTATCGCAAAAAATACAATTAATAAACGAAATTATATTTGAGCTGAACCTATGAAATGAATGTACGACGATTAGAATGATTGGTTTACGAGTGATTCCGCACGTCAACTGTTAAGGTTACGTATTACCTTCCTAAGAACAGTGTATGTTTTTTGTCGCAGAAAGTTGCAGTGATCTCCATCTGGATAGCGAGATCTGGTGCCGACCTACTCGTCAACTCGTGGGATTTCCTCCAAATAGTTAACCCCCCCCCCCCAGCATTCTCTATGCTTCCGACTGTTCTCCAGGCATGTGTAGTTGTGTAGCGCATGTAAGTGTTTGTAAGTAAGGGGAGAGGATAGAACAAATAGAGAGGAAGGAAAGATCGGGCGCAGTCCATGGCACATTTATTAGGATTCTGCTCCATCATTCGCCTGATGTTGATAGGAGAAATCTCCCTGTAATGGGAACTGCAATGACAATTGATGTCCGGAACGAACTATGCTATACGACGCTTAACAGTATTTTGTTTTTGTTGATTACATAAAAAATTAAAATTGGTTATTTTTCATAAAACTGGTCAGTAACGATTGGTATTACTACTAATATAAATAACAAATAATAAGAAATTTATTGGAATCCGTCGAGTGGAATATCACTTCATATTCCCGCCACTGAATGAGTGCCAACAATATACATTTCAAAATGAAGATTTGATAATTTACTACGCGTCATTTATTAATTAGCAGTTGTCTGCAAGTACTCAATATGATTGTAAAAACCTCCTTCAAAATACATCTTAAGAACCTTTCATACCATGAACATTAAGTACAAGTAAGAACTTTTTTTAATTGTCAGACACATCTTTCTTTTGACCGAGTTAATTGTTTATATTACCGCCAGTGGTGGGTTGGTGTGTTGCAGGCCGCAGCAGAGTATTTTACGCACGCAGATAATCTGCAGTCAATTCAGATCATTCAGAGAGGAATTGGATTACTTAGACAGCTTGTCTGTCTTTTCCCTGAAATTGTTTGTAGAGTCTTCCTTTGATGGCCTATTGCGGTTTTGTTCTTGCATGTTGAATCCTCTTTAATGAATTAATACTTTCGTGGGTAATTCGTAAATGATGAATTTGCTGTGTCGCGTTTTTTTATTCTTAGCGTGTTTTATACTAGTACTTGCGGAGGTATCTACCAAAGCAAAACAAATTCAAACGTCCAACGATGTGTTTCCCCAGAGATTATCTTCGCTTCGTGACCAAAAGTAATATTTTGGAAGTGAAAGTGTACTTCGTGACTTTTAACTTCTTTGTTGTTTTTATTCAAATTAATACTGTTTTCTAGGTTTTCTGTAAAAGTGAATGAAACAAATTACTCTGTTGTAATTGCTGCACAAAACAATTCAGGAATTAGTGTTGTTACTCAAGAAGAAAAAAATATTAACCATACTTTAGGTCGCAATAATGAAACTACTTGGATGCAGTCAGGTAATAGTAGAGTTATTAGAAATGAAATGTGAACAGTATTGAGATATATGTAGTATTTCATCTTATATGTCTTTATATGAAATTCTCTTTGGAATGTATGTGAAGTTCAGGAATGATATCCTGGAAAATTATTTTTGAACATTACTGCAGAGAACCGATGCCAATTCTTTTGCTGAATAGAGTTTTAAACATGTAAATAAAAATTGCACAAATAATATGATATTAATGAAATGTTTTGGTAAAAACATAAATAATAAAATTGACACTTTGTGAGTTCGTGAAAATACTTTTTTTTTCTCAGAGAATTCAAGACCTTTTTTTATTTTTAAGTTTCAATGTTTCTATCCAAATATTTCTTTTAATTAAATAGTAATTGAACAGAGAGTGAAATGAATCTAATGTGTACGGTGCATTTTTATGTCAGTGGAAATGGTTGTATCACAGCTGTTATGTCAAGATTGGTCTAAGTAGTTTGTTTATTTATTTAATATATTAAATACAAAATTGGTACCTTGCACACAAGTTCAGAATACTCTTCTAATTGTATTTGTATTGTACGTAATTATGTTTAACATCAAAAATAAATTATGGATTATTGTTTCACATTTTCTGGAGGTGTAAATATTTCACCAGTTTTAACAAGATCATAGCCAAATATTTGTTCTAGATATAGATCACTCATGTTTCTCTTTAGTTGGCATTTTTAGCAATCAATGAGACTTCACACAAAAAATGGTATCTCAATTCTTCCGTAATAATATGATTTTTTTTGCAGATTCCTGGATAATGGTAAAGTATGGTAGTGGTGATATGTATAATATCTCAAAAAGCAATGGAACTTGGAGTACCAATATTTTAATACTTTGTAATGTGGACATTCACCAGGTCAGGTGCACAAATTTTTATTTTATGTTATGAAACTCGATTGACTCTCAGGTTAAATATTTTATTTGCATTCTGTTTTACAGCCTGAATTGAAGTTTGTGGGTGAAAACCATCAAGGAAATTATTTTTACATGTTTGAATTAGTTACGTGTGCTGTTTGCCCCCATGAAGGATTACATGATGAAGGACTTAGCAGGGGATCTGTATTCTGCATAATGTGAGCTTTAACCTTTTAATTCTTGGATACGTAGTAGAAAAGATTAATCTTCTTACATAAAATGGGAGTGTCTGTCTGCAATTTCAAATAAACTGCCTTTTTGTAATTTCATATGCTTATTTAGATGGTATAGAAACCAAATCAATTGTTTTTAAGATTTTTGTTTGTTTCTCCTGGATAATCTCTTAACAGATTTTAATGTGGTTTTGATGAGTGTTTTGTCAGGCATTATTTAGGCTAACCTCATTTCAAATTATTATTTTCTCTTACATAAACAGGAATGTTTGTTTGTTATTTCTTCATACACATATACACATTTTTTAGATCTTATTGAAATATTTTACAAAACTTCAAAAGAAGAGAAAAGTTACTTGGATTTAGAAATACTCCGTCGCTTAAATATTAATCTAAATGAGCACCTTTTCAGTTTCTCGCAAACATCCCCAAAAGGGGGAGCACATAGAATTCATTGTTTTCTTGTCTAATGTTTTATTGTGATGAATAAATATTTAGGCAGCACAGGGTACTTCAAGTAGTTGAATATTTTTATAGAACTCCATCCTTTATTAGCTTTGTTCATGGAATTCATATTGATTAGTGATAAATTTATTTTCATTTAGATACAATAACTTTGAAACATTATTCTTGCCTGGCCTTCTGGAAGTAATTTTTAAAAGAGGATTCCTTAATAATTGTATCTAACAATTTTTGGTTTTATGGTATTTATTTCATTATTAATTTCAGTTTGTCTCTTTCTCAGAAGGAGAAGAATTCTGTGAAATTTGAAAGAGATTCAAAAAGGTCTATAAGAATATATTCATAGAAAAGCATTAAAATTCTGAAAAGGTTTTGAAAGAGGGTCATTCACTTTTGAAGTATTTTTTGTTTTGAAATGTGTATATTATTTAAATTTCTTCTCTTCATAACAAAATCTCATTCTATTGATTGCAGATTTTTAACATCCGTGGGGGTGTACCTTATAATTGGTATATGTTACCGCCGAATGGTTGTTGGGGCAAAAGGCTTTGAACAAATTCCTCATCACAAGTTCTGGACAAGACTTGGCAATTTACAAGCTGTAAGTTGAAAAATTTAAGTTTTTAATCATTTAAGAGCTGATCATTTTTTCCATGTTGAGATACAAACATCTAATAATCCTTGAAACTTTTGTGATTCTATAGAATTTAATATTAAAAATTAGACTGAAAAGGCCTTAATTGAAACCATCGTTATTATTACAAGTTCCATTATAATTGTTAACATAGTACATCATAATCATTTTCACATTTTTATTACCACATATTAAAGTAATTAACTGCACATATTAACAAAAAATATTAATGCAAGAAATTGAAATCGGTAATTCTTATTTATTTGTTACTTAAGTATGAAGAAACTGGTTACCCCACACTGCTCAAAATTTGTGGATCCCATGTCTTGCTGGAAAATTCTGTTTTGTAGTATCATTCAAATTGTTTTTCCGTGTTCATTAAATATTTTTTAGTGAGGACTTTGCTACAGCATAAAATACTTTGAAATCTAGTATAAGACTTAATTATTAAAAAGTTTCTTAAATTTGAGATGTCAACAATATTAATTTTCTGTGAGTAATAATCAAATAATCTATGGTTCCATCTATTAATTAGTTTTGTAACTATTTGCGTTCTGCGAATTTGCAAGTTTTGTATTGTGGAGCAGCTGTGATGGCTCTGAGGCAGCATTGCTATTGCTTCTGCTGGAAGGTCCTAGGGTTTGAATCCAGAAGATGTCAAAATTTCGACACATGCTTATAGCCAGGTCAAATTCAACTGTCTGGAGGGCAATGCTAGTAGCTGGCTGCTGTGATCAGTAGGATTCCTGTTTTTTTCTCCAGGTTGATACAAGGCAAATGCAAAGCAGTATCTTTTTCAAATGGTTTAAAACTCATTTACACACAATCTTTTCTTCCTCGTCCTAGGCACCACCTCTCTCCTTACACATGTACATGACCACACTCCCTCTATCAGGAAATTAGTAGAGAGCTGAGAGCCTGTCCTGGGAGCCAACGTGTGGGTAGGTGCTGTATGTTGAGGGGAAGAACACTGTCACTTCCCAGGACGGACTATACTTAACAGGAGTTAAGACCTCAGCTGTTGATGCACCAAGAAACACTAAATAATCAATCATTGAAAAAGGAGATTTTTGGAAAATATTCTGGGAAAAGTAAAGGAACAATGTGCTGCACTTGATTAATGATTTAAAATTTGTTACGTTGATTTCATTAATCTTCTTTAATTAATTTGCTTAAATGATTTTAGCTATTGTTTTTTCTGCTTAATAATCTGTTGGGGTTTAATTACATTTACTTTCACCATTATCTGGGATAAAACCTAATCAAAGAATGTAGCATTGTTTTATAACTTATATATCATTTCTAATTGTGAAGTTTGATTTTGAGTAATTTATGGTGTTACTTAATTGCACTCCATAAGTTCTGAGTAATCTGGCTTATTTATTGAAAAATCTAGACCTGTTTCTCCTTCTCTTTTTTTCCATCCCCCTCCCTCCTTTTTGTCTCCCCCTCTCACTCCTTTAACCTGTTCCTCTATTGAGTCTGCCTTTCATTTTTTCTCCCTTCCGTAACTGACAGTCATGATAAAAAATGTCATGAAATATAATATTCTTATTTATATTTTTACTTTGAGGTTTATTGTCTAATTTATTTATAACATTCAGGATGGCTGCAATTTAGTGTGTCGTCGTGAAGAGGAAGAAACTTGGCAACGTTTGACGAGCAATCCTCCTAAAGACACTCAAGATGATCAAGATGATGCTTTGTTGCGACCGTGAACAGTGTGTGAAGCTTCCGTCGTAACATTCAGCTATTAGATGAAGTGTTAGAGGAATTCAATGTTTTTGGGTGTCTGATGTGTTGTAGGAATTGTGATTTCTGTACTGTTCTCCATAGGAATCTAGTCAGTTGCCATTTGTGTATATATCAAAGACAAGAAAATTAAGGCTGATTTACTGAGGCAGTGAGTTTGTGTAAAGTTTCTTAATGTTTTAATTAGTTGAAGAATTCTGCGAAGAACAGGTATGATATATACAAAAAATTTTGATTTAGGATGAGTGCTTGCAAAATTGGATGTTACAGACTAAACAGTTTTTTAGAATGCAAATGAGAGCTATTAGAGTCTTGAAACAGTTCTGGTGTTGGAAATATGTTCTCTTCAGTGTTGCTGTCTATCTTTTATTCTAAAAGTAATTCTGTTATTGGTCAAATTAGCATAATGCAATTATTCCAGTTCCTGATCTGATATGGTGATTTGTGATATATTGATATATATTCTGTGTGGCAACAGATCTGTAAAACAAGGAATTGTTCATGAATATGTAATTCACTGGAAATCTCAGGCAATTTTTTTCTTTTATTTCAAAGAAAAATTTTTGAAGTAATTAAAATGCGCCCTTATCCTTTAAGCAGTGATTGGGAAAAGGCTTATGCTTGAAAATGCTGTTCTCAAAAAATAGCTTTCAAAAATTTGTTTTTCAAATAATTTATCATGTTTGATTCATGTCAAAAGTAGCTTGTAAAAAGTGCATTGCCCATTGTTGTTCTCATGCATACTGATGTAAGCGCACATAATGGCTGCCTTCTTACAAAGCCAGTTGGCAGCCCCTCCAGTAAGTGGTAGGGCACTTCACACAGCCACTGAGCATGGAGAAGAAAAGATTTGCAAATCACCTCTCGGGGCACCAGCAGGCAGTCAACGTCTAACCAGCTAAGCTCAGTGGCAGGTCAAAATGGCCTAGTGTGAACGCTGCCAAAGAAAACTGTTGCTTCCAGTGGTGTGCTGCCAATGTCAGGAGTATGCCACCAACCACTACAGCAACACCACTGCTCTGTTCATGTGAATACCTCTGTTAAAGCCAGTGTTTTAGCTGCAGACGTGCCACTTGGAAGCGCTGCCAAATGACCTTTTGTAAATAGTTGCCTAAAGGACCGTTCACTGAAAGCAAACTGTCTGCTCATACAGAGAGTGCTGTTCATGGACTGTCTGCCATGAACCCATAAATTACATCATTCTATATAGTCTAACGGGGTGACCTACCATGACAGAACAGACTAGTTTATGGCAGACTGCACACATTGTCAATTTTTTGTGTGGGTTTATGGTGGTATTAGTTAGTAAACTTCATTGATATTTTCAGTTTCATGAGATAACACAAAAACATTTCTTCAAACATTTCTGTGGGCATTGGAAAATACATGAGTCTTGGAAATAATTATTTTTTCACATAGTACATGAAATTTACCAAACCCCTCTTCTCTCTTCTCCTCTTTGATTTGTTCTTTGCCCCAAGTCTTTTTCCTCCTTCATATAACAGAATGTACTGATGTTAGTGACTCTTTTAAAATGTTTGAATTAAAAAATGCAACGATATGTAGTTGGCCTCAACTAGTCTGTTTTCAAATTCCATACGTTCTGCTCACAAATTTATGGTGGGATGAGGGCATCCCCTCCTGCTCTCTGTTTGGCAGATCCTTACAAGGGTTTGAAACAGATTGGGGGGAAAGAAGTATTTTTATTTTAAAATTTCAATCAGATTTATTAGGTCAATTACATTTGAATTAAAAAAGTATTATTTGGATGCTTAATTTATCATATTGATCAATAGTGTGTGGACTCGTATGTAATTACATGTTGTTATACATTTAGCCCATTCGACTGGTTTCAACTCCATTTTGGAATCCTGAACAAAATTACTAATGCTAGTGTCGTCTAGTGTGGCTTTGCATAATGTTCACCAACATGGCCCTTAAAAATTCTTCGAATTTAAAGGAAATATTGAAAATCGAGGGAATTAAAGATGTACAATTACATCAAAGGACTGGCTGCATAATGTTTTCAGCTGTGCTATTTTTCTACCGGCATGCCTGTGTGTGGCCCGCGTGTCTTCTAAAAAATAAGTGATGTTCTTCAGTGTCGGGTCTCGAACGGGATTTTGTCTCTGATCCATTGAGCAATTGCTGAGATGACACCTTGTTTTGCTTCTGGGCATAAATGTAGCTTCATTATGAGCACATTTTGTTGAACTCACCTTTTGCCAGTGGTGGTAGCAGTAGAGCAGTTGTGTGTTACTATTGTGGTTGCAATAAAGAACACAGTTTGTTTACTGCTGTGACTAATGTTCTACAACTTGGGAGCAAAAATAACAAGTTTTCAAAACTTGATAACTTTTCTTTTTCTAAAACTTGTATTGGTCATTCAAGTATTTACAATTAAAACGGGAAGTGATTCTGGTGCTCAAGAAAACGTGTGCAGATGGTACTTCTGCTCCATACTTCATTCAGTTTTGACTGTTCTATGGCTAAATAAATAAAAAGTAATGTTGAGAGCGTAGGCTGCTTCGGCCGGAGTTAGTAGCTCCTTGGCTGTCCGTGCGATGCGTCCCAAGGACAGGTGCCAACGTTTCAGCCGCCTTTGAAATGAAAATGCATTTTTGCCCCGAGGAAGGCCACAGAACAGCGGTTGGGATGTTGGCACCTGTGCGTATACTTTGTTTTAAAATGAGGGTGTGTTAATGTAAATCTGTTATGGTGTCATTGAATCGGGAGGCTGAACATCACCATAGTGATGCCAATGTATAGTGATGTTTAAGCTCTCGTTTGGATGTCACACTTGGATGTTTGTGCTGATGAACTGTCAAAGGACCCTATAAATAAAATGAAGTGTAGGACGCGGTGACTCCCAGGCAACCAAGTAGCTAAAAGTAATGTTGGTAGCGTTTCTAGTGAGCTGGTCCAAGAGTGGAGTGGGCGAATGCAGAATTATTGCGTTTTTCTTTTGCTGATAATATTCAATTTCAGATTTGCGTTTTTCTCATTTAGAGATTTTTTCCCTTCAGTCCCCTGGAAAATCAATAAGTGAAGTTTTACTGTCCATATTTTTTGCCTTTCTATGTTCAGTTCTCAGAATCATGAGCTTCGCAATTGGGGCAATCATAACAGAATATTAAAATATTTTGTGTCATATTTGTACATAGTGTGTACTATATTATATATGTAATACATTTTGTAAAACATTTTTTTTTTTATTCTACCAATTGTTTTGATATTTAGTTTATAAAATAGTTTTAATGAATTTCCAAAAATTATATTTATTTAAACAATTTGCATATTTTTCTTGCACATATTCAGAATTTTGTGCAGATTAAGTGAGGTACCCCATGTGGAAACGTGCACAGATGCACACACACACTGAGTTAATCTGTCTGCACGGCATGTATGTTGTATGAGCGCTAAGTATATTAACATTAGGCGTGGAAGGTATTATTCATTTCTTGATTTTTAATCCTAATTGATGCGAAATATTTTTTGTCGCTGACATGTAGTTCTATGATGACAATGCTACAGTTATTTATTGAGTACCCATGTTTGTATGATGGCTATCATTGCTCTCTATGATAGACTCTGAAAGATATTTAATCCAGTAGGACAAGCTTTCTTTATTTTTAAAATTGGTTTAATATATATTTTATTAATGTAATTTCAAATTGTGTAAATTTATTTTATTTGCTTGTAAATTTTCTGTAAATTAGAGTGTATTTTGCATATTACATATTATATCGCTTTTGACATTTTTTTTACATAACTCTTTTATCATTTTCATTGTATATTTATGTTTGTAGAATATATTATTACATGTTTTTCCAAACTCTATTGATCAAACACAGATACTTATTAATATTATTAAGAATTTTTACAGCATTTAATAATTAATAAAAACAATTAAAAATAACACCTTGTTACTTTCTATGTATGGTCTTAAAAGAAGATTTAAAATGTTTTTGTGGTTATATGGACATTTAATGTCTTTAAACTATTTTGTTAAGTATCTGTATTGAGATTTAATAATTTAGTTAATGTTTTAACTAGCAATGCAATAGAAATCTTTTAAATTTATTTTTGTGTACGTTAAGATTATTGAAAATTTTAATTTTATTAATTTGTGACTACATTATATTTTTATATATGCAGAGTAAGACATGTTTATAGATCTAGCATTAGGAAGTTCTGTATTAAGCCATCAACATTGGGCTGTGGGTGAGCGCTGTTGCAGTTCAAGGCTGCAACTGTAGCAGACATGTGACAGCAAATGTTGATCTTCACCATGGCAGCAGGTAGCAGCATTCTGTAAACACTGCAGCAGGAATATCTCAGCTCAGGTGTTGTTACACTTCCCAACTCTGCAAATGTGCTAAATTTCAAAAATTGATTGCATTGCAGCTATTTCAGATGAAGTAACATGGGGAATGGGGAATAAAAATAACTACATAATGAGTTGATTCATTTGTGATGTACATCAGCGTTTGAACAAAACACAATTACAATAAATATAAATGTTGAATACACAGTTCAGTCAACAAATATTTTGAAATAATATAAATGTTTGGCAGTTGCGATACAGTAACATATTACTTAGTACTTATAAAATGATGCATTCTAAATATTTAATTATTTTAAACTACAGCCACAAATAAATAGAAACAAACCATTATCAATATTAAAATATTTGTATTGTAAACTAAACAGTAAAATGAAAAAATATTGTTTTAACACATTGTGGACTAGAAACACAGTGCCGAGGATGTGTGAACGGTACATTTCAAATACGAGAATAGCAGGTAAAGGTCCTCTCCGACTTGAGATGGCTTTTCATGAATGAAAGAAGATCCATCCTGTCCAGGTGCGGTGTACTGCAAATAAAAGTGCAAAGGAATCATGCTTTGGAGATGGCCTACTGTGCTGAAGTGTTAAACAAATGAACCAGTAGTTGCAAACTTTTTATTTTTATTTTAATGAACTCTACTTTAGTTTTCAAATACTCAATAAGTTGTATTGTAAACTGCTACAGTGTAATTTGTAATTAATTAAGTAATTAATGCTTTTATTAATATGGTAGCTAACTTTAAAACAGAAAGTTTGTAAATTTTTAGATGAAAGAAAAACATGTTTTTATAATTTTTTTTAAAATTGATTTTAATCATCTTCTTTCAAGTCAGAGGTGTTTCAGATTTCTTTGAATTGATTTCAGTACAGTCAGAGAACATTTTTGCAGTAAGGTTGGTAAGTCTGGATAGCCGGGAAGTGCGGGGCTTACTAGATTTTGTCACTATCCTGACATTCTTTGTGGAGCAATTCATCCCTTGAATTGTATGCATCTGTTTGATGCTTAAACATTCATAAAAAGAAATGTCAAAAATATATTCAAAGGAATCAATAGTGATTTCACTATTTTAAAAGTGTATAGCTTCAAATGTTTTGCTTGTTAAAAGTGAGTACAAACTTGCAAGTTTGTATCAATGTTCTTGCTTGACAGCTATTCTAGTGTTATATCTATTGTTAAACTATTTATAGTGGAATACACCTTGCTAATAAAAAGGTTTGAATAAAACTGATTGTCCCAAATTCCAGTACATTCCAAACATTATTAAGTAGCCAATTCCCCCTTAATGAATCAGTTTTTGTACTGTCAGCAATGGAAATTTTAGAAAATTTTGACAATTGAAATATTGCTTGTCAGTAAAAACCAATAAATCTAATAGCACTGTTAATAAAAAATGCATTTAGCAGTAACCTTACAGCATTGTCTATGTTACTTCATTTATTCAAATTATTAATTGATTTTGAATTTGGAGGGCTGAAGGTCTTTGTGTTCACATTCCTTGCACAATGACCCTGGTTTGATTCCTGGACGAGTCAAGATTGCCTTTATAGTTTCCATAGTTCAATGTCATATTGCAATTGAGCTTCTGGCTGAAGGGATGAAAGGCTATGACTGACTAACTTAACAGAGGATTACTCTACTTTTGACACCATTTAGTGGTTTAAAGAACATTATTATGAGAAACCATAATAGAATTAAAAAAGAAAATGGTTCACTGTAGTTCTCGCATTAGGGAAGCTGCTGAGGGATGGGTGATTTTTGGTAATGGCATTTGCACTGAGGAAAATGGGTGCTTTGGTGCTGAGTAATTCAGTGGTAAACTTTATTTCCTCTGAATTGCCTTGTACACCTCTTTAGTTATACTATTTGGTTGTGCTTTGAGGATTCAATATACCTTATATGTAAGGACTACGTGGACGAATGGAAACCTCATTTCTGAATTTTGTTTTTGAATATTAATCTTTGTTTCCTGCCATATCCTTCTTTCTAATAGTACAATATTTTCAGGCACTTTTTTAAACAGAAAAAATGTTCATTCCTTGGGCGTGAGCAGTACAAAATGTACATCAGTCTTTGTCCAGTGCTAGCACAAGAAATGGTAAATTCTGATTTCCTGAGTTCTTAAGGCTATTCTACTATTTGAGATAGTGCAGAATATAAGGCTAAAAGTCACATTATTTTGCAAAATTATATTTGTTAATTAGTATCTAGAATACTGATGTTAATTTAAAAATCCATCCAAGTTCAACACCATTATCTTCTTCTATATTGAATTTTGTTTTAAAACATTAAATAAATAAGCGCTGTGGATGATCATCCTCTTAACAATTTTTCTTCTTCTGAAACTGTTACTGCATAGTTGGAGATTTTACTTGACATTGAATAATGTTAGTATTATTAATTATAGTATTATAAATGTGAGACAAAATCAATGAAAGATAGTGATTTGAAGTTAAGAAAATTATAGTACACTATAAAAAAGTTTTTATTCAGAGATCCTTTGCATTTCTATTTCCACAAAAATTATATTTTAGGAATATAAGAAAAATGTGAGAAAAATAATAAAGAAGTTTACTACTCCATATAGTGATTCAAAGATACTTTTAATAAGAGCAACAGAATATAACTTTCACCAATACCATATGCAATTCTGTACTTACAAAAATAATAGAAATCTAAAAACAAAACTTTGCTTTAAAAGAAATAATAAATATAAATAATAAAACATATTTTTTGTTTCAAACTGCCCACTGAGGACATCAATATTAAATAAATTAATAAAGAAGTGATAGCCTAAATCTTTTCCCACCAGGTGGAATTTTCAATCAAGAAGTATCACAATAATTTTTTACCGTAGGCAAGATTCAATGCATGAAAACAATTTTACAGTGAGATGACATGCAAAAAATGACAGTAGAGGTAGGTGTTGTACCTTTGACCACTCCTTGCCAGACCATGTATTACTGATAAATTTCAGAAGTTGGTATTCCTAGTTTATACTCTTGTCCCCTGAGCTGCTTTAAGTCTTGTCATTATTTGAAAAGCTTCATTAGTATTGTGTATAAAAAAGAAATCTGTTTGGAACAGTCAAAAGTAGGTATTTTGTTTGGATTATTTTTTGTCATAACTTGAATTATATTTATTCTATTTCATAGTGAAATCTACCAAAATGTAAGACAGGCACTCTAGATGAAATATGCAGTTCACTATTTGCAAAAAATTTCACATCAAATTCAACATCCTTAATTTTGTGAAAAATGAGCATATGTTGTGCCTTTGATCAGCATGTACTGTTGAACCATTGACCAGTCGAAGTTACAACTGATCTTATGGTTACATCCCTTCAGGATATTTATTTATTATTATTTTGTATTATTTTAGAGTATTATGCCTTGAAGCAAAGGTGATTTCATTCTCACAAAACTATGCAGTAAAAACCTGTTAAATATTGTGAATTGAGAGGTACACAACAGAGGTATTTATGAGTAAAGAGGGAAAATAGTTTTGAGGTAAAATATCTAAAGAAATTCCAAACTATGAGTGAGAGATTTGTGAGGGTAAATGACTGTATGATGCAGATAAAGATAATGTTGGATCAAGCTTCCAAATCCATCGCAGGCAGAAGGATCAGTTTGTCTGCAACACCATTTGTTGTTGATCTATCTCACTACAGTGAATAGCTGATTTTTTAAATTCTGTATATCTCAATAAATTTTGTTTTTATGTGATGACTTTATAGTTTGTTTAAACTATAATTTAAAGAATTTAATTGTTTCAAAGTTAGCTTCAGATTTGCATGGTTCATGTGCTTTGTTCTCTTTAGTCCTTTTTTCTGTAATCTTTATTGCTGGTGTGCATCATACATGCATATTACGTTGTTAAAATTTAGTTTATTTAATAAAATCAGTTCCAGTTATCTGATTATTACAATTCGGGTGAAGTGGTACAACTACCCCTGGTCAGAAGTACAACATTTGGTGCTGTACATTTGACCATGTTTTTTTCTTTCAAAAATTAATTTTAACCAATAAATTGCAGATCATTAGAAAATAATATTTCGTAGACTTGTAGGTCAGTGGCGTAATGTTCGGGCCTGCAAAACCCACAATGCGGGTGGGCCTATGGAAAAGGACTATTTTTAGGCTCATGCTTTTCAGATTGAAAGAAATATTAATTACTTGATACTTTCTCTGTCTGATACTTTGCGATACAATCAAAGATTAAGACAACATCTTTCAAAAGAACGATTTTTTTCCTCTTCAGTAGCTTATGTACACCTGTTTCTAAATCAATAAAGGAAAGTATTTCATTTAGGTTTAATAACAGTCTTAATTTCATAAAATTAAATGATAAAGGCAGATTTTCATTTAATTGGTCATTAATCATTGACTAATGAATAAGAATTAGTAAAATAATATTTTTATTATTTAAGATAATACCACTCCTGGTGTTTGCTATACTCATTTTGTTACGCTACTGATGTAGGTGCTTATTTTAAAACCACGAACGAGTTAATAAATACAAAAATGAAGGAGAAAAATTTAAAGTACGAAAAGTGGTCAAAGGTACAACACTTTCCCCTCTCCCAAGCTGCCGATCATTTAAAAATGTTTTGATCAGAAATTCATTTCTTGGCTTTGATTTTCTCGGAAAAGTTATGCTCCATATCAATGCCATCTGCATGTAGATGGTGTTGCCCTTCTTGATATTTTGGCAACTTCAGAAAGTAGAAATTTGGCTCACTGTCTTTGCAAAAAGTCTTGAATTTTGAACAAAATTTGACAAAACTTAGGAATGACCATACAATTACAATATTTAAACACAATCATTTATGACAATCTTTATCATCAAAGAAAAGGAAGACTGGAAACAATGATTGGATGAGAGAAGCAAAGGAAGTATGTGATGTAATTATTTTTAAAATGAAAGAAAAATTTAGTTTCACTGGTCATTAGACCGTTGCTTCTTTGTACACGTTGAAAAAAATGCCAGTTCACGATATTAAATTTCCAGAAGAAACAAACAAATTTGAATGATTGTTACAAGTTTTTGACCTTTAAAAATTACCCGCGTGAGGTTTGAAGCAATGAACAGTCCTGAGGAACTTAGGGATTATGAGGCACTATTAGTGTTTATCAGTTTCTCAAAGTTCGAAGAAACATTCAGTGAAGTCATCAAATTATTAGAAATTCTAAATCCAACGACCGCTTCTGAAGCTAAGATATGTTTTTCGGTCGTCAAACGTATAAACCGTTTCTAAGAACAGCATTTCACTAGACAAAATTGCCTGCATTGGCCATGCTATCAATCAATCATGCTATCATGCAATTATAAAATAGTAGTTGCTGATTTTAATCAGAAAGTGATTGAAAATTTCTAACATCAAAAAGAAAGACGTGTGGATTTCTTCTTCAAATAAAAACGAGAGATTAGCTTTAATTATATTGATGTCTAAATCAAACTAAAAACTAACTTCACATTTTGAAATAAAAATAACTGTATATCGTTTTAAGAATTGAAGTTTTGAATATTCTAATGCGAATTTAACTTGAGGAGAAACTAAATCCCTGAAAAATTACAGATCTTCCAATGTTGCAATATAGTATACCAAAGTAGTGAAATTCTCGAAATAAAATGATTTTGTGAAAGCAATGTTTGAACATATTTAGCTGTGTTTGCGTTTTGTGACGGTGTCCGTTATTGCTCTGAATTCTGGAGCTCACATTCCCGCCATTCGACGGAGCACAACCCCGTTGGTGGAGGCGCTGACCGCCACTGCTCGAAGCGTTCGCACCAACGGACTCGCCACTCGCCAGACAAAACAAATATTTGAGCAATTAATTAACACCGATTGATTACCGAAAATAAACTCAACTGTTGATATGTTTTGACACAATCATTAAGAAGTAAATCTAAAAGTTAGTTACACTTTTCTTAAACAATTAAAATAATATTTTGTTGGTTCGTCTCGTTTACAGCAAAAAATAAATCACTGGGAATATTACTTCCAGTTAACCAGCAACAGAAAATTAAGGAGGTTAACATACTAAAAACACTCAAGATGCTAAAAATAGATAAATTGCAAAAATGCAAAGAGCACAACTAGATGCTTGTCCACTTGAGATGGGCGACCAGTGCAATTATGTTCAATATAATATTACTGAACTATATTAATGTAGGGAAGAATAAATATATAAACATTAATAAGATCATTTACAGATGTCCCACCAACTATAGGCCATCTCCAAAACTTCTAAACGGTTTACGATATCGAAGTGCAGTTTTCGCTCAACAGTGCGAAATTGTGAGGCAAGTAATATACTGTAAATGTAAGTGTTTGAAATATATTTAGTTTTCGAGAAATTTAATCATCTTTTATTTTGTAAATGTAGCTATATTTTCCATAAGTAATTGTCGACTACTGATGTCACTACGAGTTTTCAGCTAAAAAATTCATCATCAAACGTTTCCCCAAACATTTTAGATACAATGTTCGTTTCCGAAACTTTTTCCTGTAAAACTCTAAAAAAATCGGTAAACTAAAAAATAAAATAATAAAAATAAAATAAAAGAGGAAATTCGACCGGTTTAGCTGAATTTCCGGATTGTTTGTGAGTCTTGTCCGCCTGCCATTATACTCCCGTTAACTCACCTATCTAATGAATCCTTAGGCATCAGAACTTTTCCAGATATTTTCAAGACCGCTAAGATTAAGCCGCTCTTCAAAAAAAGGTAACAAAAATTAATTTCAAAATTATCGGCATATTCTCTTTTGTCAGTTTTTTTTTCAAAAATATTAAAGAGACTTGGTTACGTACGAAAGGAAACCTTTCTCGCGATGGGTTTTCAGTGCCATCATGGATTTAGAAAATCAAAAGCTACGGAAACAGCCATATTTTTATCTTAAAGATAGCTTCATCCATGGATAAAAACGAAACACCTATTGGAATATTTTTAGATCTTTCAAAAGATTTTGACGTCATTCATAACATTTTGCTTTCAAAATCACCCTCGAATGGAATTCTTAGTATCGCTGTAGATTGATTATGTTTGTAGCTTAAACAACGATCTCAAAGAGTAGAATTACCTTACTGGAATGATGGAACATTATATGTACCTTTCCGATCAATCGCTATTTGCACATGGGGAAATAGCATCCCGCTCGGATCGATTTTATGCTCTATTCATTTCCTACTTTACGTGAGCGATATGCCCTCAACGATTCGAAACGGAAGAAAAGTTCTCTTTATGATGATACGATTGTTTTTTGTTTTTTTGTTGTTTTTTTTTGCAATAAAAAACGGTAAATTTTACAATATTAGATGTTTCAAATTGGTTCCGTAATATCAAATTAATATTAAATGAAAAGTAAACGGTTGTAATGCAGTTGTCCATTTCAAATAAACAGCTCTGTACTCCAATTGAAAATGAACGGTGTGCCATTGACTGATGTTAAGGTAACAGACGTGCAGGAATAAGTGTATGGGATGTGAGTTCAGAATCGCCCCAGTGTCTATATTTACAGAGCAGCTCGACGTAGGTATTCATTCACCTTCCAATGGTAATCGAGTATCCACCAGAGCTCACTACGAGAATTCACATATAGTATATGGTACCAATTAGTTGTTACAACATCTTGGCTAGATGACATTAACGATTAAGAATTTGATACAAAAAGTTTAAGTCAAAGTAAAAATACTTTTCTGACATGCACCAACTGTTTGTATACAATTAGAGACTATACTGAGGCATCCAAAGGAAAAGTAAGTATTAAATTTCTAACATGAATTTTAATGTATTATATATCATGTTGGGAGATGATATTGCAAGAACAACTGTAACTCCCAGTATTAGTACTTTAGCTTCTGGGTCAATGACCCGCATCTGGATCAGGGT